ACAATTCTACTCAGTTAAAAAAAAATAGATAAAATCTTGCCATTTATAGCAGCATGGATAGACCTGGAAGAAATAATGCTAAGAGAAGTAGCTCAGAAGGAGAAAGACAAATAATGGGTGATTTAACTCATATGTGCTACTTAGCGAAGCAAAGCAATAGATAAAGTTTCCTTCCAGTTTTACGGTTTCCATGGAGGTTGAGGTCCCCTTCAGTTTTAAAAATTATTTTGATGTTTGGGGGAAGAACAGTACAGTATTTGAAAAAGAATGTTTTAGCATTCCAAATAAATAATGTTTTAACATTCCAAATAAATAAATAAATATCTAAAACAGGTTTGCACAACCCTAAAATTACAAAAAAACTAAAAAATTGGCAATAAAAATAAAATTTATTCCATAATGAGAACAGAATCAAACTAACAAAAGCAACTTAATAGAATATCACCAAGATTCTTTGCAAGTTAATAAAAGAAATGAACAGCTGTACCTCTGTTGAGTAGTCCATATTCTCCATGAAATACGCCAACTACTTTTGAGTAGCCTTGATTCACATGAGCATGAACAGCCCTTTGAAATGCATCACCCCACAGAGCTGGTCCACCTGGTTTCATTTGAAAAGTAACAAGCTCATAGATACCTAGATAGGGTGAAAATTAATATTTTACAGACATATTCAAGTGACTTCTAGTCATGTTAAGTTTGATTTTAGTGGATGACTGATGTCAGGTAAACATTCGAAAGATATATGTATACATATGACACGTCTATTAATAATTCACATTTTCTTTGCTTTTATATTTAGAAAGTCTGTATTAACTTAATGTTTAAGCATTGGTTGTTAAGCTTACTAGAAAAAGAACTGGCAATTACAGGTAAACTATTTTTATATGAAAAATCCAAATCATACAGTATGTTAAACACTGAGAATTTATGATTGAATAGAAATTTTTATCTGTCTGAGGCTATACTTTTAGAAAAGATATGAATAAGAAAGTATTTTGAATCTTCTACAGTTTCATTCTTCTTTTAATTTCTACTGCTGTATCTTTATATAACTTGCTTCTTAAAGGAATCCATTTCTAACATGAACCATAGGTAAATAGACCTGACTGTTAAAGAGTTTTTAAAGAGGGGGAAATAAAAAAACCTGAAGAGACAGTGTTGTTATAATCCAAATAAATACTTGAAAAACATTCTACCTTTTGGATGGAAGTATAAGGTAGGTGGAGAGAATGAACTAGGGAACAAGTGGATTAGATAAGTAAAGGTGAAACATGCAAAGTTACTAGAGGAATAGAACTAAGATTTGATGCTGTGAGAAAAACCATCTAATTCATTTAGAGAGTGCTGAAGCCTGAAGGAATTGAAATGTGTAAGTAGCTGATTAAGACCTTTCGTCAAATCTCTTGTTATCTAAAAGTGCATTAAAAACTTGGGGATCAGAGGAAACACAAGGAAAAGTTAAACCAGTTCATGCTTTTTCTGATCTGACCTTTGTTTAAAACTGGATTGAGGTAATAATTTCTTTATATCAGCAAGAAGACAAATCTTTAGGAATTATTTTCAAGCTGAGAAATAAGAGGAAGACAGAAGAGTTGGCAGTTTCAGTTAATAGTACCCAGTCAGTTTTATAAATAAAAAGGTACTTAATGATCTAAGAATAGGATCTAAGAAAGCTTTAATTTATATAAAATATTTGAAAGTTTATTTTATGTCATAAAATTGTCATAAAATTATGACAAAACATCACAAATTCCTCACTTACTCTCAAAAGTTCCCTGCTCCTCAGGCCTAACTCCTCAACCTTTACAGACCATGTCAGCTTTTTCTGTGATACAGTTAAGGTTTCATATCAGTAAGATCCCAATTTGGAAAATTAATGCTTTATTGC